GACCTCAACATTGTCAATAGCACTTCCCTTCGAAATTTGTTATCCAAAGGTCCGAAATATCGTGAGCCTAAATCCATCAATTGGAAAAACAACTTCAAAATACTGATGGATTAAGTCGAGGATTATGACAGGCAATGGGCTAAACGCGAGAAAGAAGACGTAGATACTCTTTCCGAATGGATTATGGCTGTGAGATCGTTGATACAAATCCTAATTAAGAAACTAAATGGGTCTATCAATACCCACGCTACGTCAATTTTTAAATACCCAAATGTTGCAAAACACTTGTCCTACCTCCATAACAAATATGTTGTTATCCTCGCAGATAAAGCCCCAAACAACATCGTGTTTGTGTGTAAATATCATTACATAAACTGCTTGATAAATGAATTAGGTATTGACAATTCATTTGGAAACTCAACATATACCCTCACGACACTTACCAAAGAGGAAATCCTAGATAATCATAGGTCTGTTCTATGTTCCTTTGGAAAGATGAAGAACTGGATCTTCCATTACTGTATTGGATACCTAAACTACATGAGTGTCCTTACAAACAACGGTATATTGCTGGGTCTTCCAAGTGCTCCACGAAACCTCTTTCTAAATTATTAACATCTATTTTATCAGCAATCAAAGCCGGGCTCCAAAGTTATTGTGAAACTGCCTTTTCTAGAGGTGGCATGAATCAAATGTGGATACTAAAAAATTCCAAAGATCTTTTAGAGTACATACAATCTAAGACTCTCTAGTCTTGAAATAGTATTAAAACATTTGACTTTTCTACACTTAACACAAGTATTCCCCATTCCAAACTAAAAGACAAATTGAAAGAGTTGGTATTACTTTGTTTCATTAAAAAGAGGAGGGATAAATCCTACTTTGTAAAGAATCACTCTGATTCAAACAAAAAATTCTCTTAAAAACTGACATTATCAAGATGCTTGATTTCTTGATTGACAACATATTTGTTACGTTTGGAGGACGTGTTTTTCAACAAACTGTCGGAATTCCAATGGGAACCAACTTTGCCCTTCTTCTTGCCGACTTGTTTCTTTATTATTATGAGGCTGACTTCATACAGGAACTTCTTAGGAAGGAAGAATAGAAACTAGCAATATCCTTTAACTTTACGTTCCGCTATATAGATGATGTTATCTTACCAAATAATACAAAATTATATTGAACGAATCTATCCCATCGAACTAGAGATAAAAAATACTACAGATACAGTTAAGTCTGCCTCATATCTTGACTTACCTCTTGAAATTGACAATGAGGGTCGGTTGAAAACAAAACTTTACGACAAAAGAGATGATTTCAGCTTCCCAATTGTGAACTTTCCATTTCTATGTAGCAACATTCCAGCAGCGCCTGCATACGGAGTATATATCTCCCAATTGATACGATATTCCCGGGCTTGTATTTCCTATAATGATTTCCTTCATAGAGGATTGGTGCTCACAAGGTAGCTATTAAACGAAGAGTTCCAAATGGTGAAGTTAAAATCATCCCTTCGTTAATTTTACGAACGCCATCACGAGTTGGTTGACCGTTATGGAATAACCGTTTCACATATGATATCGGATATGTTCCTTATGTCGTAACTACAGTACCCTTCCCTTTTCACGAATGTGACCTAACGAATTAGACTATTTACCGGATTTGTAATAACATAAGCAACACGACGGATGTCACTTGTGGAGCAGGATCTGCTTAACCTTCCGCAGCACCTGAGATCCTCCCCAGTTTTTGGTGGGGTTCGTGTTGCTTACTCTTTAGTTTTCTATGTTGTGTCATCTGTACTATTATTTGTCTGTTTTTCTTTTTATTTTTGGCCATGGCGTTGTCAGTTTGTTTTCGATCTATTTTTTTGACTGTCCCTCTGGTATCTTTTGTCCCTCTTTTACATAGTGTTATTTTAATTTTACAGCACTGGGTCGATACCAATGCTGGTTGACTTGGTCCTCGGTGGTATCATCAGCTCAGTAGTAGATATGACAAACGAAAATCTCTGACGAGGAGTCCTAATTAGAACAGGCAAACAATATATGAACAAAGTTAAACTGTTTTTGTTAGATATCAACCCATTTCCTTTCGATTTCGATCAGTGTGCTGATAGAAGGTGGATAAGGTCACAATAGGTATCTGCACTATTGGAACGTTCTACCTTGTATTTTGTTGGTATTTTGAAAGTTGGTCTTTATATGTGAATAGATATAAGAAGATGTGGTATGAGTGCCAATGAGATAACTCTCCATCCAAGTCACAATTTGTAAAGGTCAAAGTACGGCCTTGAACACGGAGCCTTGGCTCACTTCGAACATCAAGCTATAAAGGTCACTAAAAATGACTAGTGTAAAACCATTCAAACAGGAAACCATCGGTCTAATTTATATAAAAAACGAGAAACACTTATGAACCACATCTATAAACGACAACCACTAAACAACAGGTTCCTGACTTTGGACAGGTGCAAACAAATGCAGCGGGTTTAAACGTATTAACAGGCGCTAACCTTACCCTAACCTGAAACAATAGTGTAACATCACAACATAGAAAGACACACTATAAAGTTTCAATTGAAATGGCTTAACTCAATCAAAAGACTTATTAACAAAAACAAGTAAACATATACTGAACGAATAAAATTGATCTATGACACAATGTAAATACAAAATTAATGAAAAAGGGGAGGGGAGATGTAAAACAATATTAGAAAGACAACCATAACCTGGGACAAAATGCTGCCAAATAAAATAACGTACACAGATAAAAAAAAAAAAATTTTGTAAGGTATACATGGAGTACGGAAATATTTGTTTACAAAATAAATAATTTTGTTGTTCATAGTACGAGAACAGAAGTGAAAATATATTGTCATACCAAACACTTCAAATGTCGTATATATTAAAAATTGTGAGACGAGATATAACACTAATTAGGTAAATATTAAATAACAAAAATGCATTACAAATTGTATCAACAGGTAAAGTTAACACGAAAGTACGATTTGAGAGTACTCGCAATTACTGAAAGCTAGTCAAAAGCCAAAAACAATTTATAATAAAAAATCATGCATCAGAGACTAAAATCAACTAAAACACATCTCAGGGATTTAGTGTTTTAACGTCATGTACAGTCAAAGAAGACAAGATTTGTGCAATGCCATAATAAAAGTAACGACAGGCAGTAAGATAGTTATGAGTTAACCTTTTAATAAATATGTATAATGTTATATATAGACAAAGTAATCTCTATATAGAAAATGAACGTGGATGTGTATTTATAAATCCCAAAAACCGTTTGAAAAGAATACAAATTTAGTTATGTTTTAATTTGCTGATGACAAAATCGATATTTGTGCCAATGTTAACTATATTCAAGATCCAATAACAACATTAGTAAGATAATCTTTACTAAAAAGTTTGTTTAAAGGTTCGATGAGTATACATGGATCACATAGTGATTTCCGCGCTTTTAGTTCAAATTCTGTATCAGGTTAAAATATAATATAATTTATATTTTACCACATGGATCACTATTTACAGTTTTAAGGATGTACACTTTATTGTCAAAGTACAAATATGTGTTCTTCAACGGCACCTTAATTGATGCGTAATACGCATGACGCAGACAATTTATCATTTGTTGACGAATACTCATGTCAGGTAAATTGACAAAGAAGACGGTGAAATCGACTTCAATTCGTTTGATTATTTGTTGTAGGATTTCATTTTTAAAGGGGTTTCAGGAAAAAACTATCCGCGAATTTATCCTGACTCATTTAGTGCATACTATATCTATTTTGAAAATAGATGAATTTCTGTTCAATGCGGTCCTCAAATCCTAACCTTAGAAAAAAAAACCTTAGAAAGTTTCAAACTAAAATAAAACTAAATGGAACGCACATTTTTAGTATAACCTTTGCCAACATTTTTTTCATACAATTTTATACCTAAATTTTAAAATGTTGGCATAGGTTCAATGAACATAATCTGATAAACTGCCACGTATAAATTATACTAGTAGTATAATGATTACAAAAGAACTTGATCGAGCCAGTAATACCCTCGGGACTTTACGGATTTTCCTATGCTACTTTTGTTGGGGAATCAGTCCTTTCATCCCCTCCTGATTGTAACAACCTTACGGAGAATGTCACATTTAAATGGAAAACACGGGCAATGATTGTCATACGTATTCAAAGACAAACGCGTGTATATATCTTATTATAAAATGACAAGTTCGGCGGTTCGTTGTTTTAATCTGACATCAACTCATTTCGTCTAACTTATTCAGATCGTAAAAGATATTGTTGAATGTGGGTTGTGTCTCGTGTTAAATTATAATCTCTTCACCGAAGACTTACGGAAATAGCCTAAAAGCCCTAGATACCTAAACTACATAAATGTCCTTACAAACAACGTTGTATTGCTGGGTTTCCAAGTGATCCACGAAACCTCTTTCTAAATTATTAACATCAATTTTAATCAAGTAGTGAAGTTGAAATCATCACGAGTTGGTTGACCATTATGGAATATCCGTTTCACAGATGACAGCGGATAAGTTCCAATTGTCGTAACTACAATCCCTTCCCCTTTTCCCCGAATGTTACCTACCGAATTAGACTTATTACCGGGTGTGTACTAACATCAGCAACACGACAGGTGCTTCACGTGGAGCCGGATCTGCTTACCATTCCGGAGTAACTGAGATCACTCCCAGTTTTTGGTCGGGTTCGTTTTGCTCTGTCTTTAGTTTTCATTGTGTGTGTGTACTGTTGTTTGTCTGTTTGTCTGTTTCTTGTTTCAGCCATGACGTTGTCAGTTTATTTTCTACTTATGAGTTTGAATGTCCCTTTGGTATCTTTTGCCTCTCATTTACACCCAAGGAAATTAAATTGATTCTTGTATAGATATTTTTCATCTTCTTCCGTTTCATCATCAAGTAATACATTTTACGATGTTTGTAATACATAGTCAACCTTTCTTTTGTAGAGACGTATTATCTGGAATCCAATATTCTCTATTCAGTGCCATTTTTGAAAATGGGGACATATTCTTTAGATTATGGTGACAAAGATTTAGGGGGAAAGTTAACGTCATTCATAGACCGTGACGTTAACCCGGATGCAAACTATCTTGACAAGTGTGGAGAATGCACCAATATGATAGTTAGCTTTATGCACGAAGTTACCCCATATAGCATTGCATCAACTATCAAGGTAATTATATTTTTTAGAGTTTTTATTCTAAGCAAGAATTTTTTTATGTATCTTATGAATTTTGATTTTAAACCAATCATTACCTCAGAAAAGAAAAGAAACATAAGCAAATGGATTCTGGAAATATTCAAGAGACCTTTATTGTAGCTACTTATATCTCAATATTTGAATTAGAAGACAATACAACAATGTACTAAGTAAAAATATTAAAAAAATCTAGGAAGAGACCTGTACTTTGCAAGTTGGAAAAATGCCCTTGTAGACAGTGATGTAAAACTAAAAAATTAAAAATTATTACATATTCTTACGAATTTAATTACACATATTAAGGATAAAAAATCACTTGAGATATTCTGTGTTTCATTGTTGTGCAGAAAATAATACCACAAATTGATACCGTGTCAATATTTTTGATTATAGTATAAATTTCTCTCTTTTTTTTTTTGTTTGGTTGTGAATGTGTTCACTATGATTTAATGCACGATTTTAAAAACTTTTTGTTTTGCAAAATCTTATTTACCGACAATGAAAGCTTTTTGTATGTAAATATTTACACAACGTGTTTCATAAAATCTAGTAAAAAAATATTTGAAAATTATTGCATACAAGTTATATTGTATTGAAAAATCCCTTTCGTTAGAATGGGAATGCATGTATTTTCTCTAACAGGCATTAAGCTTGTATGGAAACAGAATATAAGCTCTTTTATGAAACATTGCCATTAATCATACTTAAATCATTATTTACTATGCATGCATTATTTGGTAATTGTGTTGATATCAGAGGGCAAATATTGATCAGCAATGAAATAAAATATTGAAAAGGGACACATAAGAAAAATATTTAACAAACTACTTGTATTGTTTTCCGCAATAAATTTGCCAAACATCTTTTTTTTTTCATTAAATGTTTGGTCTTATTGATGTATACTGAATAAAGAATTCATTCATATTCGGTATCTCGGCACCTTAAGAACCCTTGCAACAACGTTTTGGTGGGTTCGTAAATGGCCTGTTGCAACACCAGATTTCTTTCCTTATGTAATATACCCTAATTTTCCTTTGTCACTTCAAATTTCCTGACTATCTTTCAGAACGACACTCTATTGAAGGACTTGCCTATTGTATATATTACTAAATTGTTCTGGCCTGAACCTGCATGAAATATTTGTCACTGGGCTTAAAACAAACAATAATCAACCAAGTCAGGAAAATGACAGATGTTTTCCAGTCATTTCGTTGGCTGATATAGTTGAGCGTTTGGTTTTGTCAGCTTTTATGGACTTCCCCTTTTTTTATTTACTTTGGAGTTCTGTAGTTTTGTTATTAAATTTTTTAAGTAATTAATATTTCGCTTAATTAATGGAAATTTTTTATGTATACAGAATGTGTTTTCAGCCTTGTATCACCATCACTGTCGTAGAGTTGTCACTGGTTCAGACGTACTTATTATATATATATATATATATATATGTATGTCAGCGATCTAAACGAGTTATCGCCATTAGTAAATTTAAAAGTAAGAAATCAATAAGTTAGGTATATTTTTATTTATTAAAATCATTATTGCCCAATTTAAACTAGAATAAATAAATATTGATCTTTTTATTGATTGTTAATCCATAAATTGAAAACATTTAAATTTTACAATAAGTATATGTTAAACCGAAATTGAAAAGATTGCTTATTCACTAGGTCAACACGTTTTAGCTGTAAAATTCCTCAAGAACGTATGAGACAAATAAATCGAGAAAAAAAGTCGAACACACGAAAAAATGGTGGCTAAAAACTAAACAATTCAAATGGTGTATTGTCTCTAGATTAAGGCAATAGTCTGGGAAACGGTTTTTCCATAACGCTCAACCAACTCGTGATGGCGTCCGTGAATCTGATAAATTCTTAACTTATTTCGTTTCCTTAATTTATTCGTTATGAACACTATGTCTATGATGATTAAGATTCGTTCTAAATAGTTCTGTCATTTGGAACCTATCAATGCGCGTGTTACAATAAACGAATAATGCATTAGGAAAAAGTGTTCTATTTAGTTCTTTTCGATTTTTGTTTTATGATACGAATATTGTTTGATTTTTATATGGGCTCATCAGGTCGGTATTAAGAAAAAACATAACTAACGACAAACGACACAATTTTCTTTTTATTGTAGGGTGGTTCTTTTGGGAAAGGAACTGCCGTGAAAGGAAAATCTGATCTTGATATACTTTTTGTGGTGAACGATATAAAATCTATTGAGGACCTTATGAAGAAATTGAAACAAATAAAGCATGAGCTTCATAACGCACTATGTTGTGGATCATTTTCTTCAGTTGATGGTCCATTGTCAAAAGAGAAAAAGGCACAACGGAGACATCTAAAGAAAAATAAACCGTTTAAAGTGTCTAATATCAGGAGGACACCGTTTACAGTTTCCTTTACTATGACGTTACCGAATGGTACCAGTATGCCTGTTGATTTAATTATTGTACCAAATTTACCAAAAAGTGGTCCTCGTAAGTTTAAGTAAAATTATCACCCTAATATACATTTAAGGCTAAAATAAACGAAATTTTTCGATCGTGAATGCTTCTGGATCAGTCTCAAGACAAGCTAAGGAACCAACATTGTAACATGCATTGGAATTGTTTTTCATTGAGATGGACATGCCTGCTTTTTAAAACAACAGTCTTAAAAAATATAGTTATGGTGTTTTAAACACAGTACACTATTACAATATATGATTAATGTTTTATCACCATTATAAGCAATAATCATTTGATTGCATTTCTTTCACATACTGATTTTCTTATAACAGACATTTCTATTCAGATGGAAAGTTCTCTAAAGAGGATTTGACCAATATTTATCAACAAATGAAAGCGCATCCAGAACAGAGAGATTATCTTGCTAAATGTGTATCACCCCTTCAAGTGTCCTTTGTAAAAGATCTACCAGAAAAAATTAAAAGAGCTATTCGATTGACAAAGTACTGGGCAAAAACAAACAAGGTCGGTGTTTAATAAAAATGATTGATGCAAATTGTGTTTGTTCGAATATTGTCATAGCAAACAGTGTTTGATATATATCATATTTTGCTTAGTTCAAAGGTACGTAAATGAAAATAACATTTATGTAATTTCGTGCAACCGAGGCACTGTTTGATCAGAAACGGTCAAAACTCAAATACCTGAAAACCAAGGATATATTAGACCTCAAAACGTAAGGAGCTATATGACCAAAAAGGAAGATAAAAAAAATAGCCAAATTTATCTCAAGTCAACTTTGACTAAGGGAGTTGAAACCTTAGTTTATAATGTCCTTATAGTACAACTAATATGCAATAAACGCCCTTTTGTATTGTTTAAAACACCAAGATGACATTAGACCATAAAGATTGATATAAAAGAAAACGGTTAAACAAAATACCAGTAGTATATATGTATATATGTAATAGAGAAATACATATCTAGCCCAAAAAAAAAACTGTGTCCTTAAATCAATTCCATGTCCTTCCCGTTATTGCGTCATAGACGTCACAAATGTATGTCCTGTTACTTCTTAAATCTGCGTCCTTTTTATCAAGGCATGCATTGTGATGTATTGTGTCACAAGACACGTAGAATAAACTTACGTGTAAGCACCGTTTGTTGCCATGGGTATGTTCAGCTCAAAATTGTTCACTCTGTCAAAGCCTTGAGGCTTTGAAACCAAATGATATATATTTGAGTTCCATGACGTCAAATTAATAGTCTACCTTGTAAAGAGTACACAATTCTGAGAATTTGACGTATCTGGACACAGTTTTTAGGAAATGACATAGATTTGACTCTTACATATATACTCGACAATAAGTGTATACAGAATTCATTGTTAAAAATGTTCATGAAGGAATGGCCTGCAATTAGGTTTGTTTGTCTATTTGCGCAAACGCTTTTTCTTGTTCTTTTGATGTGAATGTTAATCGACGTTTTAACTAGCTGATTTCAGAACAAACGGAATTAATGTCAATAAATCTTTAGAAAGTTTGAACATCCATAAACTTTTACAACATCTCATCTTATCCTCAGAACTTAACTTACAACGCCATTGTAAAAAAAAACGAAACACGACGAAAAGAATAACAAATCAACAAAAGAATACATAAAAGTAAAGACTGAGCAACACGAACCCTACCAAAAACAGTCAACCAACTTGTGATATCCGTAAACTTTCGAATAACATCAGCGGTACCTTTTACAGTACCAGCTGTGCATTTCGACAATTAATGTATCTTCAGTAATGTTCATGACCAAAGTATTTGAGAGGTTAAACCCTTATATAAACTTTGAAGAGCCGATAAAAAAAATACAAAAGACCGAAAGTTAAGCAAAATCCGGACAAGGAATCAGAGCCATGCTAGAGAGAGATACATTCCTTATTACAAAAAAATTAGGATTCTTTATAACAGCAAATTTCTTCCATGTCAGTTACGACGTAGTGCGAAGGGATAACTTTAATTTGACCTCTTGTAACCATTAATTCAATAGCTTCCTTGTTAGCAGCAACTCTAAGTCATGGAAACCATGATAGGAGGCGCACGCTTTAGAATATCGTGTCATCTGGGACATACATGTATATAGTCCATATGAAGGCGCTGCTATAATGTTGCTTCATAGAAATGGAAAGATCACAATTGGGAAGCTGAATTCATTCCTGTCGTCGTTAAGTTTGTCCTCATCCAACCGTCATTACAAATTTCTAGATGAAAGTTAGAATATGAGGCACACTTAAAGTATCTGAGGTTTTCTGCAATTCAAGTTTGATGGGATAAATGCGTTCAACATATTCACCAAACTTTGAATTATTTCCTGAGAGGGCACGTTATCTACATGGCGAAACGTGAAGTTAAAGGGTAATGCTTGCTTCCTTTCATTATTCCCGAGAAGCTCTAGTATGAAATCTGCCGCCTACGAATATAGGAACAAGTCGGCATAAACAAAAAGCACATTTGGTTCCCATAGGAATGTCATTGTTTGTTAAAAACGTGTCCTCCAAACGTACCAAATGTGCTGTCAATGATATAATCAAGCATATTCATGATGCTAGTTTTAGAGATTTGTTTGTTTAAATCAGAGTGCTTTTTAAAAGTATGATTTATTCCATCATAAAAACTAAATATTTGTATCTACGTTGCCCTTCCTTTTAAATTAATAACATGACAATGAATGCAATCTCAGGGTCGTTCATTTTTACTGAGGCACTGATTTTGAAAGCCAATAAGCACATTGAAAAAGACAGCACAAAGCTTGCATTTACTGTATTTAGAAATTGGATTGATATTTATTTTAAACTCGCATGCATGCATTTTCATTTTTAAACTGACGAAGTGATAAATCAGCATGAAACAGAATCAATTTTGTCCTGATTTTCTATCATTGAATATTTTAAAGTTGAGTGCCTAACGTAAACGTCTTTCTCACATTGAAATAGAGCATACCGCAAATGATATGCTTCATATATTGTCTTATATTATTTAGAGAATCTAATACCGGTGTTGAAATTAAGGGTCGTTTGAAGGCTTTACTTTACGAAATAGATATAAAAGAGGGACGAAAGATACCAGAGGGACAGTCAAACTCATAGATCGAAAACAAACTGACAACGCCATGGCCAAAAAGAAAAAGAAAAACAGACAAATAATAGTACAGATGACACAACATAGAAAGCTAAAGACTAAGCAACACGAACCCCACCAAAAACTGGGGGTGATCTCAGGTGCTCCGGAAGGGTACCCGTCGTGTTGCTTATGTTATTACAAATCCGGTGAACTATCCACTTTTAGGTAGGAAGATTCAAGAAACGGCATATAAAGTATGTTTATCCAAGTTGATGTATTTTAATCTTTTCTCTTTTGGTAATGATATTGTCATTTTCCGAATTTTTAGCTATAAAATGTACGTTGGTAAACTTGGTAAATTTCTTTTTTTTTTTAAAGAAACGACCTTCAATATCAATTTTTAAACACACACGATCTATTTTATTTCAACCATTTCAGATCGAATTATGTGTAATGCAAGTACCTCCCTAAAAGCCGAAAAAGCTTGTTATTGTAAAGTGTCAGGACATGTAATCAAAATAGCTAGCGAAAGTTAAAGAGTTTGGAATGTAACTGGCAAAATTTCCATAGAGAAAACAAAAAGCAGGAAATAACAAAAACCATTACCTAAAAAAAAAACCGACAACATCGTGATGGTATGTCAAAAGCGACATTCTAAATGCTTTAACTCGAAAACCGTTTAAGAATTTGAAATAAATGCCTAGAAGAGAATCGAAAGATACCAAAGGGATATTCAAACTCACAAATCGAAAACAAACCGACAACGTAATGGCCAAAAACCAAAAAAGAAAAAGACCAACAGACAAACAATATTACACAAAACACAACATAGAAAACTAAAGACTAGAAATTTTAGGAATATCAATCTGAAATTTATTTATGATAAGCTTTCCGTAAAGGCAATGAATCCGGACTTATCAAATGATCACAACCTAGTCAAGTTTGAGGTCGTGAGTACTAACCTCTCCGGAGAACTCCAATCTTAATTGCAAGTTTCCTATCGAAGATTGGTGGTTCTCTCCGGCTAGCTACACCCATAATAACTGCCTGCTATGATAAAGACAAAGTCACTGAAAAAGAGTTTGACACCAACAAACAAACCGAGCTTAAAATAGTCTAATGTTTACATTGTCGGCTATACAAAATTGGTGTAAGATAAAAGAGCGAGATTTTTTTCACATTCTTTCGCAAATTCACTTGGAAATATGCATTCACTGAAATGTGGGTTATTGAGTGACATAACATCATCAATATATCTGAAAGAGAAATTAAAGAAATTTGCAAGATGCTTTTTTTTTGTCTTTGATAAAGTTCTGTTATAATTCTGCTTCATATGAGTACAAACACAAATAGACCGGTAGTGATGCACAATTATTACCAATTGGAACACCGACGGCCTGCTGAAATATCAATTCACAAAACTACACTAATACATTGTAAATCATCCAGCATTTTGAAGATACCATGCTCGTGCTTCTTGGAAGGGTAAAACCCGTATACTAATTCTACATTGCAGATTTTGAATCCGTTTTTGAATGCATGACCGAACAGCTTTGAACCATCCAGATAAAATGTATAGTTTTGGTTTTTCTTGTTCGTACTTTATCCATTGTCTGGCATAGTCGTTCACTGATTCAGTCAGTTACCTTAAGTTCTTCTTCCAGTTGATGGACTTGGGAATTCGATATTTCGTTGTTCATTGTTTACGATGACAAGGTCTCCAGTTATAACATGACCAACGGGACTATATTTGTATTGGTATGATACAGAAGAGCAATCGGGATGTTTGGATTTAACTCCCTGAGGGTAAAGGTATATAATACCCTCTTGAGGTTGAACATCTTGGAAGTAATAGGTTTTGTGTAGGTATAAGACAGGCGTAGTTTTATCTTTAAATTAATCGGGTATTGTTTTCTGTACAGTTTTTTTTGTGTAGTTGTCACTGGTTTGAATAGCCTATAGTTACATGTAGTGATGTCCATACATGTAAATATAGCTTGCAACCAATATGTACCTAGCAGAATTTGTATCAATAAAAGAAGTGTTTTGAGATTCTTGAAATAATGAATTGAGTTTTGATAATGGTACGGAAAAGAGTTATTTTATATATGCTAGTAGTGAATTCCCAAAGGTTTATAAACAGATTACAACAAACCATCTATAGACACGGTGTGAACAGCAGCTGTTGAATATTTTCGATGTCCGTGATTCCTATTGCGTCGAACAGGGGTGTTGAATAATTTTAAGTTGTTGATATCACTCCCCCTGGGTCTATACAAAATACCTACAACATACACGAGCGTAACGTATTAACTGAGATATGTAAGCGCCGTACGATGGAGCAGAGTGTATGTTAATGCTGAAAATGAGAAGTTGACAAATGAAGCAGACCTTCTACTTACGGTTGTATATGAGATGTAAGCACTCATTGAAATGTGGGTTATTGAGTGACATAACTTCATCAATATATCTGAAAGTGAAACAAAAGAACTTGGCAAGATGTCGTTTAAGCGGTTCTCCCATTTCTTATTATTTTTATGATAAATTCGATTTCAAACTTGTGTATCGTCCCTTTTGTTGACTAGTATATGTTCAGTCACGGATACAGCACTTATGTAGAAAACAAGTTCGATGTGTTCAATTGTTCTGAGAAAAATACAATTGAAAAGCCACGTTATTTCAGAGAGACACGTAGCAGAATTAACCTGTATATATTTACCACGTGTAATTAATCTGCTCAAATTTTGAAAAACCAGCCAGTAACTATTAGTAAAAAAGTAACTTTTCAACATTCACGACATTGTTAAGAGTATGGTACAATGAGTTATATCTAAATTTCTAACTATAACTAATACTGTAAATATTTTAACATTTTATCTTGTTAAGACAGAATATTTTGTGTCATGTATATATTATATGGACCTTTTGGGTCTGAAATAAATATCTTATCTTATCTTATCTATTATTCTTTTAGCACAAACTGCCTTCGTATGCCATAGAACTGTTAGCTATTAAAACGTATGAAGATTTCAATCGACCAGAACCTGGTGGGATAACAGAAAAAAAAATTGTTAACGAAATATTTACGCAACTGAAAGATTGTAAAAATATGAAGATTGAGTGGAATACAAATTACGACCTTGACGATTATTCATATGAGATTAAGGGTAAAGTCAATGAATCAGCAACCGAACAAAAGAAATCTTCAAAAAGCCAAAACTCGGTGAAATTAGATACTCCAACTGCAAAGAAATTGATAAAAAAAATTAGCACAGTCATAACAGAGAACACTTAAGCAAAGATAACACGAAATCATTTAAAACCCTATGGCCTAACGTGGATATTGCCGGAAAGATAAGCTTTCCTTCTCCAATAGCGACAACCGTCGTGTGCTCATCACAAACAAATCCCTGTCGCATGCTGTGATGACATGAACGAGGAAAGGAATGGTTTGTGTTTATGTGTACTTGAATATATCCTAACTTAAAAATACATTCAACTACAAAAGTGTATACATCATATAGGGCTTTGGCCTACTTTCTCTATATGTTGCTGAGTCTAATGAGGTTCGGTTGTTAAAGAGCAACTATGCTTTTCAAATTTTCAACAACTATATAATTGTTTTCTTTTTAATGTTTCATTAATGAGCATACGTGATTGAACTGGAGTACATTTTATCTGAAAGATATAACATATTGCTTAACTGAAATATGGATTTGATTTGGCACATTTTTCGTATATATTTATATATGTTTTAAAGATGACAACAAACAATTGGCAAAGTTATATAATTTATAATACTAAACGAATGAAATTTTCCGAATTTTCAGGAAAACGCGCAGCGCAAACTGAAAGAGTTATTTAGTTTAGAATGAACAAGTTATTTTCAAATTAGCATCTACAAAGCAAAAACTTTCTTCGAGTTTAATGTGATTTGCAAATGCATTTTGTGTACACATGTTACACTTCTGCAACGTAAATTCTCCAAAATTTAGAAAGAAAGAAAAAACGCCATAAATAGGCTGTAGAATTCGCAAATATTCATATTTTGTACTTAAATGCAAAGACGTATCCAGTTGTTTATGAAAGTTGTGTAATCTACAAAATTCATCCTTCCGGATCGTTTTGTTTCTGTGTAATCAATGATGACTGACAATTTGCAAATTTAGACAGGTACTGATTTTTTAATAGTCTTCCTTTGACCTTTCTAGAAAGAGAATTAAAAAAGGCAATGTCAAACGATTTATAAATACTAATAAAAATGACTTATATAATGATAAAATGTTTTTCTTTTAGTCTGATATCTTGAAAAGAAAAGCGGAATACCAAAGAGATATTCAAACTCACAAGTCGAAAACGAATTGACAATCATAATGCCATGGCAAAACACGAAAACGACCAAATACAATCAACAGTCTTCAAAACACAACATAGACAGTTGACAATCAACAGATTATTTTTATAGAATTTGTTCATGCGTTTAACCTTTCAATAAGTTTAATGAAAATGTACTTCTTAAAATCAAGATAGTGTTGTAAAAAAAATCAGCTGTGTCACAAAGTGATTCAACACAAATATTGATAGGGTAAAATATCTACCAACTCTGAAATCGGTTTTGTGACAAGACAAGTAAATTGTTGGAATTGCCAGAATGGTCTTTGCACCGGATATGTGTATGTTCAGAGTCGGCATAGTTTTAAGGGGAGCTAAAGTAAAAAAAAACTTGGAATTTTCCTTCTCTACAAATGTATCTAAAACACAGCATCTACACTACAGCATGATTGTTATACTGAAAAACGGTGATTAAAGACATTATAAAGGTAAACAATTGCTGTCCTATACCCCACGTCTTTTTTTAATCCATTGAATACCAGTATATCCTTGGTATAATCTATAGAAGGTCTTTAATAAACACCAACGATAGCGTTTAAAGCATAACTGGTAAATCCATTAAAAAATGAAATGAATAAAAAAAAAAAAAAAAAAAAAAAAAACAAGCACGCAATTTAACTTTCACGTTTTTAGGTCGGTAACCAGCCACCTTATCACAATTTCTTTGATGTCGTAGTACTCTGCTTTATTCATATATATATTTATTTAAAGTGTCCTTCAATTAAACCAGAGCTTGTGTGTGTTACTTTGTAGTTAAAACATAATGTCTTACATAAGATCTGCCATTTTATAGTCACCGTGAAGTCTTCTGAATGTTTATCTTCATTGATCAAAAAAAAAAAACAAGTGAAGAACGTGATGTAAATTTAACGTCGCTTCATCGTGTCATTTATTAAAAGAAAACTAATATAGAGGATATAGGCAGTATGTCTTCATGATGTATACACTTTTTGTAGTTTAATTTATTCAGGATATGCATCATTTGTCGTATACAATAGCCATTCCTTTCCTCGTTCATTTCATCACATATAAAGTAATGCAATTTGTTTTCGGACGCGAGAAATATACAAAATGTTTTTTTTTTTTCATTTATCCTCTTCCTTTCAGGGTTGGTCCATACATAATGGATCCAGCTAATCCTTATCACAATCTGTTTCGTCCAAGAACAGAGGAGTATTGGATCAATCGTAATGAATCAGAAAGAGTTATCCTTAGTGAGCCGGACATTTCTAGAATAGAAAGTGATGCAGCTATTGCTCTAGAAAGTATGCACTAAGTCGCATGTGATGTCTAATTTCGGATGACTTGGTACTTCTTATTTACAGCTTAACAGTCGATGTCTTAAGGCCGAAAATGAGCTACAAGAATAAATGTAACAGTTTCATTATATACACACATTAAGTTAAATAAAAAAAAAATTCATTGATATAAGTTGCCTGTTGCCTTTTCAACATCTCGCTTAGTAGTAAAGTTACAATTTTTGTTTGTGTATTGGCAGATTCTTTTACAGATTTATTTACAAATCATTGTTTACAGTCGTTAAGGAAACAAGCTAATATTCGGGTCGGCTTACCTTCAAAAGAGAGTAAATGGGCTAGTTAAGATGAGTACTCTGACCGACATGTAGCAGTCAGTAACTGCGAGCTTTCTAATTTAGTATTGTCTATGTTTGATATTGTATTGCTTTCCAAACTCTAGGTCACGAGCGTTCAGGAAGAATGTTATTCCAGCACACGTGTGCGCTTAGACATTATATCATTTATTTTTTTACTACCACTGGGTCGAAACAACTACTGGATGATTACCTTCCGCTCAATAACCGTAATGATTGCTTCGGTATTAGCATAATTCATATATATATAACGCTTTTTTTCTCGAATGTGATATACTGAATTAGACTTATCACCCGGTTTGTACTTATCTCAGGTGCTCCGGAAGGATAAGCAATTCCTTCTCCACATGTGGCACCTGTCGGGTTGCTCATGTAAGTACAAGACAAGTGATAAGTCTAATTCGATAAGTCACATTCGAGGAAAAGAGGACGGGATTATGGGGACAATTGGAACATATCTGTCTTCATCTGTAAAACAGATATTCCATAACGGTCAACCATATAGTGATGGCGTCCGTAAAATTTTTAAAGGGATGATTTCAACTTTGCCACTTGGAAATCTTTGTGTGTCGTACGGTGACCTATAGTTGCTAACTTTTACGTCTGTTGGTCCCTGTTGATTGACAATCATACCACATCTTCTTATTTGCATATACAGTTATGTCAGTAAGACTAAAATGCTGCTTTACCCAAAGGAACTTACTTTAAATGAATCGAATTTAAACGGTAACAACTGTCCTTTCCTAGATTTAGATATTTCGGTTTTACACGGGAAACTCCACACTAAAATTTACGACAAAAGGGACGATTTTTCGTTCCCTATTGTTAATTTTCCCTTTTTGGATGGTGATGTTCCTTTTGCACCATCTTACGATGTTTATATTTCACAACTCGTTCGCCATGCCCGTGTCTGTTGTGACGTTTTTGATTTTTACGAACGTATTCTATGTATTACTGGTAAATTATTAAGCCAGGGATTTCGTTACCACAAATTACTTAAAACCTTTACTAAATTCTTCCACAAATATAAAGATTTGGTTTTGAAGTTTGGTTGCTCCTGTAGAAAACTTATTTCAAACGGGATTGCACATCTTCATTTTTACGGCAATATTGTTTACCGTGCCCTGAAGTTTAGAAACGATCCTGGTAAACTTATCGATCCTTTAAATAAATTATTCTAAAAGGTTACCAATTCAACACTGTAATTAGATCATTAAATATTGTTTTATTGGTACTGATATTGATTTTGTTATCAGTAAATTAAAAGCAAACTAAATAATATTGTTATATACATATACACATTCATGGATCTACAATCTGTCGATAACTGTATCTTGGCATTGCACAAGGTCATGTTTTTCTCGGACTGTTTATGACGTCTTTACACTAAATCCATTGGATGTTGGATGTGTACGGATTGATAATTTAGTCTTAGATGCATGCTTTTTTTTATTAGTTGTTAGTGGCTTTGAACTAGCTGTCAGTAACTGCGAGTACTCTCAGATCTGTACTTAGTGTCTTTTTGTTGTTTGGATGGACAAGTACCCGTCCACGTCCACTTGTATTTTGTAGTATTTGTATTTTTATCCATCTGATGAGTTAAGCCTCTTTCAACTGATTTTTATAGTTCGTTCTTATGTTGTACTGTTACACCACTGTACCAGGTTAGGGGGAGGGTTGGGATCCCGCTAACATGTTTAACCGCGCCACATTCTGTATGTATGTGCCTGTCCCAAGTCAGGAGACTGTAATTCAGTGGTTTTCGTTTGTTTATGTGTTACATATTTGTTTTTCGTTCATTTTCTGTACATAAATTATGCCGTTAGTTTTCTCGTTTGAATTGTTTTACATTGTCATTTCGGGGCTTTTTATAGCTGACTGTGCGGTATGGGCTTTGCTCATTGTTGAAGGCCGTACGGTGACCTATAGTTGTTAATTTCTGTGTCATTTGGTCTCTTGTGGAGAGTTGTCTCATTGGCAATCATACCACATCTTCTTTTTCATATTTACTGCGAAAAGTTTATTTGGACTAATAAGAATGACCGTTTGGTCGATCAAAAAGCTGTCGGACTGGATCGAAGACCCCTTGAACACGTGTACAAAATTTATTATTCAAATAATAGAACGGATGCATGGTTGTGTGTAGCAATTGATGTTATCTCGTGTGTTTTTTAATATGAGGAAAAAGGGATCAGTAATTGGCTTATACGTCAATAAGACACGAACAAACGACAAAAATTTAATAACGGGCAACATACATCTTTTACTATAGAAAGCATTGCATGAAGTTA